TTAGCTCCACATAATTTATGCATTGGGGATAAGTCTTCTTGGTTAAATTTAATCAATTCATACTTGAGAAAACTGTCTAATATTTCCTAAATATTCATTAAAGTTGAGTCGTTTTTCTGTAATTTTCCTAAGTAATAGACTTTTCTCCAAGTGCAGTGTAGAGCAGACGGGATGCCGACCGAGTTCCATGCGTGAAATCCATCCTGGAGTGGGACGGAGATACGCCCAGAGAGAAAGAGAGAGAGACTGCGACTGCACATGCATGTGGGCTCCATGCTGGTCGAAAGCAACAACTGGACAACAACTCTTGGCCAAGACCATCAATTACCGCTTTTTTACTTTTTTTTCTCTGGGCCCAGAGACACTCTCAGTCGCAGTTGTTGGCCCCGCGAACCCCTCGGTTCCCCTAGCCAACGCTTCCCCTATGAACACCTTTCGAGAACGTTTTCATTTTCTGAAATGGCCAAATGGCTTTGTTAACAGCTTTTGTGCAGTGGCTTGGTTAATAAATGTTTATTTAATTGACTGCATATGTTCACGACTCGACTGAGCTCGGCTCCTCTCCGAAAATCCGATCAAGTTCAGGCTCCGCTCGAACACTACTCGTAATTATCGCTTTGCCTCGCAATTGAGCAATTCATTTTGCGCGTCATAATGATAAGTACGTGTCTGTAATGTGCAGATTAGATCGCAATTGCAATAGCTGCAAAGGGACAGCCTTAATTAATGAACAAAGCCTAATTGTCTGATGCTCAGGTTGCACATTTCGAGACGCTTTTTACGAGTCACGCAGCTTGAATGTTTTCCACGAATTTGCAAGTCGTATTCTAGAGAGAATACTTTAGTAAAACCTATAATAATAAATTTATTGATTTAAGTATATTAAAATTCAATAGAAGCCGTTTGAGAGACATGATATTTGACACCCTTTTCGAAAAGTCTTTTAAGGATAATAGATTTTGGTTCATTTCAATAGGAGACTTGCCATCGAGAACAGCTCAATTTAAGAGAAAAGTGTCTATACTGTGTCCTAATAAAGTCCCTAAAAGAGTATATCCAATTGATCTCCCTTGGCTAAATGCATTCTAGGTTTATCCGTTTTCGAAGGAGGAGTAACTTTTGTAAGTGCTTGTCCAAGGGCCCGGGCATGTGTCGCCCGGGAAACTAATGATCTTGACTCGCAGGAGGAACCCGAGCGGGAGAAATTCTTTTATTTTTGTTGAAAAGAAATCCACAGGAAGAACGGAGAAACTTTTCAATGCCGAAAATGTCAGATAAATCGGCTCAGCGGCAAACACAAGCCCAGGGGCATAATTAATGATGTGCTCCATATTCACGCATTGGTGTAGGTCTGATACCGATGGTTCCTAACTCCCTCCCTACCAAGTCTTGGACCGCCTGCATGTCCATCGTCTGTTTGATTTTCCTATTTCACCATCCTTTTTACTATTTTCTCTTTTTTTCTTGGTCCTGCGAACTGTCACTTTTCTGTATCCGTATCTTTTCTCTACCGGCAAAACGTGACGTGCGTACGTCGAGACACGTGAGAGAAAGACTTTCCCGGCACCCAGCCGACAGATAGAGGTTGCGATTCCGCTTCCATTCCCATTTCCATTTCCCAGATGCATCTGCCGGCGACTGCACCGAAGCAGATGCCGGGAACGGCTGGCGTATCTCTGATCTGTCTCGTAACTGGAGAAGCCGAAGCCCGCTCCCCAGACCATCACTCATACGCCCCATCACTGCCCAAAGTCCCCGAGTCCCTCCGCCCGAAATGTAAGACGCCAAGTTGACAGACAGGTGAAGCTCGTCTTTAAGGTATTCATTTCGCTTTCTGTACTCTTTTTAGGTTTTTTTGTTTTTGGGTTATATCTTGCTGCATGATAATGTGATGTTAGATTAGGTTCCTAAATTTATAGATGCTATAGTGTGTGAATAATTGTTTGGTATATAAATGTATTAATTATCCCACAGTTTAATAGTTTAAATGTAGTTTATGTTTTGCAAAAACTAAACTGAAAGAATATGTCTTAGAGTACCATAAATTGATATCACTAGAATTGTATATTAGTCTTTCTTCGCTCAAAAAATAAATTTTGAAAATTTTTTCTAAAATTCAAAATTTTATAAGGGGTTACAAAATTAAAATTGTCAAAAGTTTGCAAAAAATTGTTAAATTTAGTATGCAGATTTGTTAACCTAATATAAACTAACATAGGAACGGTTTCCGATTTAAAATTAAATAATTTTTGGCTGAGTTATGAATAAATATCTATTTAAAGAATACGAATATTTTAACCTTGGGTATGATCGAATTCCGGTTCGATCCCATAATTCGGTTTGCAGACTGCAAGGGTATATAAACTTCGGCATTACATAGTTAGCTTCCTTTCTTGCTTAAATTTAATTTCTTATCTTCAAGTTCTGTCTGGGCTTAAGAGCCGTGGGCAGTGGGTGGTGGGGACCTTACCACCCGCACTCAGCTAATCAACGCGACCTCAAAATGTAAATAAGTCCGAAACCATCGGTGGAGGGCTCAGTTCTGGGCAAACAGTGTCGCCATTTTCTTGCCACTTTCTTTTATTTCTTTTCGGGCTTCCCTTGCTCGCAACCCTGATCCTGTATATCCTGTTCATCCACTTGGACGTCGCTGCCTGCGTAGCTGTCACTCAAATTCCTGCAAAAATATACTTTTATTTTCCATCTCCCTCTGGTTCGCTCTCATTTCGCTTTCTCTGCCTGCTTTCCCCCGCTTCTTTTTTTGTAATTTTCTTTCTTTCTCTCACTCGTTGTTTTTTCTTTTCTCCTTTTTTTTGACACATAAAAGGACACGCACCGCGTCACATCATGAAAGGATTGATTAATGATTCGTTGATTTTCGCCCTTATTCTCTTTAGTTACACTTGGGCACATAATCCGCCTCGTCTTCATCGCTTCCATTCTATTTTTGCGGCAGCCAGCAGGAGTTTTCGGGAAACGGGGTTCGAAAAATGGCTGCTAGTCCAATTTTGCGTAAAGTGAGTTTTCAAGAGGAAACACAATGCATCACCAAGTTTTAAATGTGCGATTTGGAGAAAGAACTGACCAAGTTTAAGAAAAATATCAACCAGAGGTGAGAGTATTTTTGTTGACTTTGAAATATTACTATTTATAAAACTCATTAAAAAGAAACATCTACTAAATTTTGTTATTTATGCAACAATTGATTTATTTCTTAGTCCTGTGTTGGCCGATAGGAAAGAATATGCCGTAAATTTACTGCGTTCAAATGGAAATGAAATCTTTATGCAATAGACCGTCGGAGATTTTTAATTATTATTATAAGTAAACACTTTCCCGAAACAAATCCATGACTCCCTTTCACATTAGCAAGCCAAATGTGTGTCATTTCAGGACCTGCTGCTCCCCGCTCTAACTTTCCGACTTCTAAAAGGGAAACCATTAAGCGAAAACAAATGCCTGTGGGCTGAGTGCTGCTCATGAATAAACCAACAGAAAGAAAGTAATTATCATCGGCCATTTCACATGAGGGAGCCATTGCCACCGCCAACGCCACCCTAGCACATATCGAATCCTGGCACGCAGCACAGGAGAGTGACAATTAAAAGGGGAAGACGGAATTGGTCTTCTGGGAGGGAGTGGACTGATGGTCAGCCCGTGTGAAAAGCCACACACACCTTAATGAATAAGACACTTTGACAAAGTGTTGATATTCCAAGTAATTAAAAGGGACTTGGGCCAGAAGGACTCCCGCTCAGACTAATTTCTGGCTCCGCTTGAGTCCTGGCCACTGACCATTCGTTATTAGCAGCTTAGGCAGCTGTTGAGAGCTTTAAAAAGGGGGGGATTCCAGAAGGGGAGGATATTCCAATGGGGAGGGTTTTCGGACGTGACACATGTCCTTGCTGGCTGGGGAATCTCACACAAGTAAATCAGTTTGAAATTCCACAAGCAAAAACGTCAGCAGAGACTGTGGTCAGCGGCCATTGCTCGGAATCCTGACAAGCTTACACCAAGAAAAAAAGAGTGAGCATTTAAAAAAAACTATTTTGAATTCAAAATATTTGCAAAATTAATAGTACCAAAATTCTCTTACAGCGAAAGCGAACTTTGTTTTTTTGAATATTTTTGTGAGTGCATGGTTACCCTTCTTAGGACCAACGACTTCCCTTGTTCAAGGGGGCGAATCCTCGTGTGTAAAGTGTCGAGTTTGGCGTCTTAAAACTGGAAAAATGATTCGACTCGGCATTCCCATTTCTTGTCTACCTACATTTAATTTTAAAATTCCTCCCTTTGAGTCCGTAAAGTACACGGAGATGGCCCGAAACAGCGGACAGCATGGCCAGCAATGGCAACAGCCAAGCGAATTAGGGCCAGAAGGGGAAGAACCAAAACATTTAAAAGGCAAAGTGCGTAGAAACCTTCATCAAATTTGACTGACAGGTTTTCAAGATGTTCGCACTAACCAACCAAATGTTTTCGATGCCAACTCCATTTTCAAGGGAGAATGGTTCTGCGGAAACTTAGAAATGGCCAACTTCAAACTTTAAAAATGAGTGAAGAACTGTTCAACTGTTCTTTTATTTATTTATAAGATTTGTATCTTTATCAAAATAATATATCTAAATATACAACAAATAATGAAATTCGTGGGACAATTTCAATTGTATTTGTTTCTTAAGTTCAGTTTCAGTCAGAGCAAACTGGATTGACTTAATTTATGTTCCATTATTTAATTATTTATATATTTTGAAATTAACTAAACGTTGTCTTAAATTATGGTTGTGGAAATGCGGGTATTAATTCATTTGCAGACCATTTTCGGAGTCTTACCAGTATATTTTTACCAGTATTTTCACCCTCTATCGGTAGATATAAACACAATCCACAAAGTAAAAATTGTCTTAGCTAGTGCGTAAACCCCTCTGATGTAAAATGTAAAATGTATAAAAAATACATTTGAAATATTATAAATTTAATATTATTTTAAAAATATTATTTTATTTATGATGTTTTTTTGGTATGAAAATATTGAGACAATCGTGGATCACTAAATGATCAATAAGCAGACGAATTGTGCTGCGCTTCAGGATAAAGAATACAAAAATAATAATCCCAATGCAATAGTCACAGTAGTGACATATTTTTAAGACAGTGTCCTTCGTGTTGAAGTTGAAAAATAAAATTAAACCAATTAAGCGAATGCTCCACTGTAAGTCCATAATGATGGTGAGCCGTAAAAACATCATGTACCTTTAATCAGATAATTTAAAATAATAAGAATATAAAGTAAGTAGATATATCTTACGTCTGCATTCTCGAACTATGATGCATTGTCCTTTCGTCATCGATGAAGTCATTCAGTCTGAGTTTCGTCCTTACAATGCTGATGCTTGTCAATATAAAAAATATTGTGTTGACTACTACCAGTACAGCGAAAGGACCATTAATGTATACTTTAAAACTCCAGCCCTCTGTAAAGACCGGGAAATACGTTTTGGATAACTTGTGAACTGAAATTGTGCCTTAAATAAACCTACGTTTTGAATCACAATCGCCCCAACCAATACCTGGAATCCAATCCACCAATTTTGAATCGTCACCAAAAATAAGATCAATCAGGAATAAGACTCCCGTCAAAATAGCCGCCAAGCCCCATGCAAAGATGCTGTAGGTGCGGAAGCTGTGTTGATATTCAGTTCCATTAATCAATGTAAGTCCTATCCACATCTGATGACTCAGGGACAAAAGCCAATTTAATTTGGCCATCCAGAAAAAGTAGTAGCTGCAACCTGCAATTTGAATACACCCCGACAACACAGATATAGCTCTTATTATTATTATATATTAAAATATTAAATATGTATTTAACACATACCATTTAAAGTGCAAAACTGCAAAGGAATATCAAGTAGTGCCAGATATTCATGAACCAAAAACATAAACGTACAGAACAGATAACAGATAAAGCACTTTCCATGCAGATTGCGGAGCTCCTTTACATATAAATACACTGCGATTGTAAGAATCAGACATATTTCCGAAAGCCAAATGACTGAACAAATATATTAAAATGTGTAGAAATAATATAAATACCAATATAGAAACTATTCTTACGCTGAGGTCTTCCTGGTAGGTTCCATTCATTAGCAACCCCATGAAAGGCAGCCACAAGGAACTCAGTGTTTCCCGAACTGAACTGATTTGGATGGAGGCAGTCATATCCCCTTAACTTTATCGTTTTGTTTTCATCACTCTGTAGCAGTACACTTCCATTCTAAGGGGACCAAATTAGTTAGGAAAACATTGAACAGACGAAAAGAAAATGCAGGACAAACCTCGAATAGTGTGTACTTATCATCTCTCCAAGTATCTAACACCCACATTTTATCTCTCACCACAATAAAATCGCTTAGTAAGTTATTTTCCGCGACGGATCCGTTGCTAAGAGTTACATTTAGAAAGGGTTTTATCCGAGCCAGCTCCTTCATTAGACCATCGTTACACTCTTCATTTGGTCCCATATCCTGAAAGCGGCAACAGATCCAGATACAAGGCTTCAGCTGGCAAACGCATCCTCGTAGGTGGCTCTTCACTGTTTTATTGTAACCCAGCTCCGATCTTATATAATTATATTCGCCAGTCAAGGGTTCAGGAACTTCGAGCCCCTGGTACACGTATGAGCCATTGGGTAGCCGCTGGCTGGACGATATATTCACAGTTTCATAAAAGTGACATCCGGGAATATCCGCTTTTATTGTATGCAGAATAAAAATCTCAAGAAGTCCACCAAATAATATATTTTGAAGCTGCATCGTGCCTAGGAACACAATCCACGAAAAATAATTCTCGACTAACTCCCAAAGTGCCTTGTGTGCGAGTTTATATAACTTATTTGAAAAGAACATTCCGAAAAACCGAAAGTACATTTTCTTTTTTCTAATAAATTGTCCCTAGAGAATTCGGTTTAAGTTGTTTTTCGTACAAATCGTTATGAAATATTAAAAATGACTCATTTTTAGTGATGCCTTGGGGCTTTACTGCTCTTATCGATGAATCTACAAGGAAATCCGGAATGAAGGGGTCTTGAAGAGCGAAGAAAGTAAAGCGTTGCTTGATTTATTGCTTAATTAAATGATTGACATTACAATTAAAGTCGTCACATACTTTTGTATGTCGAATGTTCGAATGTTTTATTATAATTAAAGAAAATCATAAATTAATACAAAATTAAAAATTAAACTAGTTGAGACAGAGAATGGGAGGGATGTTACCAGGAAAAAGGATCTTATGACATGCAGCAATTTATCCAGAAAATTCTACGCATTTGACAGACAGATCATACTCCGCAGAGTAGTTGGAGAAATATCAGGAGCAGCATAACGCCGCATTTTTAGAGAATATCATTTTTGGTTTTGCTCGGAGAGTCGCTGCTCCATCCGTCCGCCCTCGAGGACCTTTCCTTCGCTCAGATGCGCAGATTGGGGTTCGTGTAGCGCACATATTTCAGCAGAGCATCGTTCTCCTCGCAGACGAAGGACTTCTTGTGGTGGCAGGCCACGTCGTGCCAGTTGACACCGTCGTTGTAGAACTGATTCAGCAGAGCCAGACAGTTCTCCGGGGCACCGTTCTGCTTGAACTCACGGTTATCCGGCTGGGGCAGGCCAATACCACCGGTGGGCGACCAGTCACCCTGGGACCTCTCCGTGGTCGGGGCCAACTTTTGCAGAGTGGCGGTCCAGAACCAACCGTTGATGTTCGTGGGCTGGAGATCGGGGCGATCGCAGCCCTTGAAGTCGCACAAGCGGCCGCTGGTCCAGATGTATTTCACCTGGCAAATAAAGAGAAGATTTCGAAATTAGTATTAAATTATTAATTATAGTAAACCCTAGAACTAAATCACTAACGATTCTCCCAACTTCAATGTCCCCTGCTGATGCTTTTCCCAATCGATTGCGCCTACGCAAGAAAATTCATCGTTGGCATCGAACCAAACCACCAAATAGTGATAGAAATTTAAACTGCTAACTGATTTGGGCCTGTCACGCCCAAACAGCTATTATTGTCGCTGAAAGTGAACCCATACCCAAACCCATACCCATAACCATTCCCAGTTCCCATTCCCGCTCCAAGTCCGCGCCCTTTCGAGGCTGGCGCACCCGATACTGTCAACATTTCAAGTGAGCAGAGCGTCTGCGCAGCCGCAGCTTAGCGCTCATCAGTCACTTTCACCCGATGGGCCATAAAAATTGTTTTGTTAAAAACGGGGCCCCACAACAAGAGGTACGGCACGCAGGCACAAAAAACCAGACGGCTTGCCCTTTTGGAAAACACCAATGAGCGGAGTGCCGAAACAAATTTATGGACATTGATTTCGGATTTGTCGACTGCGGCAAGAGTGCATTGTAATTGTTGAACAACAACTACAAAAAAAAAGAAGCTCGGACAATGAATGCATTTGCCCGAGCGGAAGCCAAAATGAATTGTGCTTTTGTATTGCACCTGTCTGTTACAGGGCCAAGTAAAAGTGAACCCAGCCAGTTGATAAGCAAGGGGAAGGTGCACCACAATTCATTAGGAAAGCGGCTTCTCTGCCGGAAAACAGCATTTGGAAAGTTGTGTGCCTCCATTTGGTAGCTCCGAATATGTATCATGCGGGCAGAGATATCATATATGTAGGAGTCATTGGGCTAGTTCTTACCATTTAGGTTAAGGGTATAGAAAGCTACTCTCAATGGAAGTTACAAAAACTAAAAAACAAGAAAGAAAATCAACTTCCGGGGAGTCGAAAATCAAAATTTAAAATACTCGTCACTAAGCCATAAAGCATTAAATTAAATTCGGAAACCGTTCCTATGTTAGTTTTTCTTCGGCTAATAAATCTGCATACTCAATTTAAATTTTTAGAAAATTAAAAGTTTTTCAATTTTTGACAATTTTAACGATGTAACCCCTTATCAAATTTTCAAAATTTTGATAAAATTTAAAAATTTTGTTTTTCTGCAGGATATACCACAATCAACTCGGCTATTGATGCTGATCAAGAATATATATGATTTATAGGGTCGGAAGTGACTAGAAAGAAAGTTATTTATAAGAATATTGTATGAAAACCAAAGACTTCAGCTACAAACTTGATTCTTGGAATTGTGCTATTTATGTTTAACTTAAGATTTAAATATTGTTGAGTATCAAGATATTCTATATACCAAAGTGGGTTCTTCTTAATTCCTCAATATAACATATTTTAGTTAAAACAACTCCTATCTATATCTCCTAAGCTTAGAATTTAATTTAAAGTAATATATTATCCAAGCACCTTTAATCGAAATGAATCCATTAATTAATGCAATTTATTCCCAAGTATATTCTTTTGCTTTGGTTTACGCTTTGTTTCTCATTTGATTATGGGAAAATTCGACTCGCATTATATCCGTTTGCGTGCTTACAATTTGCTAATTTGTTAAGTAACTTTGCGCAGTGGTTTTTCCGGTGCTGCTTTTCCAGCGCTCAGGTGAACTTTCGATTTCAATTTGGCTACCGCGGCTTTCTCAAGTGAGGTGAGGTGAGGTGAGGTGAGCAATGAGTCGGAAGATCCGAGATGAGCTGGGCCTGCCTGACCACAACTCTAAACTTGACACTTGTCCATCTCGAGGAGGTTGCGTAAGAGCTGACGTCTCCATTCGTGTGCGAAATTGCAGAGACAACAACTGGGAAAGTTTTTGTATTTTTATGATCCGTATTTTGTAGTTGTTTTTGTTTTTCTCTCTCTCTCTCTCTCTCTTCAGTTTTTATGTGTAATCTCACATTGAACTTTGTAGAGCGATGTTAATGTCGGATTTCGCAATGAGTTTTTGTAAATCACACAGCATCCTCAAAAAATTAAGGTCGATTTCAAGATGTGCTTTAAATCGCGTTAAACAGTTCACACGGCGGCAAAACGGGCGTTATTTAACTTGTCAAACAAATCGAAAGGTGACATAATGGCATGCAAAGTAGGTGAAAAGATAGCAAAGATAAAACACTGTTAAATTCAGATATCATAAATTATTCGCTTGTTTTCTCGCCCTGTCTGCCATTTCACCTCGAAAGTGTAAGAAATCCACTTCGATAGGGTCCATTTGTGTTCATAAATAAAGATAGACGATTATGCATTTATGCCACCTTTCGCTGGAAGCATTTATAAATAGCCAATGAGTTGCATATTTCTGTGCATTATTGCGATCATTTGTTTGATCGAATCGAAGCTCAAGAGTTGAACAAACAGGTGCTGCCGCCAAGGTGAGGCCAATTGATTGCCTTTGGTCTAAGTTTATTTGCCGAACTGTGTGTGGCTTACATAAGTCCCATTTCAGGGTGGGGATAATCGATTTATTGAGTCCCATTCGTAATAAATTAGCTAATATTTATTTGATTGAGTAGGGGAAGTTATGCGGTGATATTAAATTGTTTATCTTTTGGTAATCTATAGGTATAATACATTACTAAAGAGGGTCTATCTGAATGGAAAAGTTTGAAAGGTTGAAAAGGGAATATTGGAAGGAGCGTTTGACAGTTGTATTTAATGAATGATAAGGTAGGTTTTTTGTTAACATTTAATATTTGCTACTATATTTGGTATGACTTCAATTGTATTATAGTTTTCCTAGCCCCACTGTAATCATAAAATTAAAATATGTACTTACATTCTCGCCAACAACACGCTGCTTGATCCATTCATTCTCCAGGCTCGTCTCCAGCGACACGGAGTCCATGCAACGACGGCGGCAATAGTTCCTGGCCGTCAGCCAGTCCTCCTCCACACCCTTCAGCTGAGGGTCGCGCCACGAGAAGAAGTAGCTGGAGAGAGATTAGCAAATATGGGGTTATTGATACCGATCTATATAGTTAAGACATCTCCTAAACACTCACCCCTTGCCATCGGGGGTCTTCTCGTGGATGATGCGCTGAGCGCAGAGCTGCGGATTTGGTGGCTCAAGGCGTCCGTTCTGGAATTGAGCCGATCCCAGGCTCAGCACGCTCAAGACGCACACACCGGCGATAATGAAAGCTTTCATTTTTATTTTCTTTTCTTCGCTGTCTATGCACACACACTTGCACTTTCTGTGGGTTCGTTTATTGGGCTCGCGTCGCGTTTGCTATCCACCGACCGATCGGCTGGCACTGATCAACTGGAATGACAAAAAACATTTGGGAACCCCGGCTTATATATGAGCAGCTTCAAGCCTCTCAGCACGAATCGATTCAAAGAGAAGAGAGAAAGAGAGAGCTGGCCCGAAAGAGAGACTGAGTGGCGGGCATTTTTCTTGGTTAAATGTAAGAAGCGGCACTGAAACAAAAATGTACTTTCTTTATAAACTAAGAGGAAGAGATGGAATAACAGAAATCGAAAACAATACAATGATTAGGATGAAACGATTAACTTTATGGTTCATATAGATATTTCTTTATATATTTTTATGGAAGGTCTTGAGGTATATATCATTCTTAATATTATTTTCTATCTCAGAACTATACTCAGGCATATTCAAGTATAAAAACCATAAGACCAATTTATCAAAATAATTGTATTTTTAGAATAAATTCGTCTTTCACTTTAGTTTTTTTAGATCGTTTTTTATGAATATAAGAAAAAGAAGACACTTATCAGTTTATTATAAAAATAGTCTATATTTCTATTATTGAAAATACTCTTTATGTCACTCTCCTTTAATTATAAATTAACAAATACTTTGCACATTTTTAAGCAGAACTTTAACAGCCTATTTTCTCAGTGCATGTGGAAAATTTGGTTGGCCGCTGCGCCTGCGCTCGCTTGGCATGCAATCATGAATGTTAAGTGACCGAACGGACTTAAGTGCGGCCAGGAAGAGGTTCGGAGGGTGGGACTGGTCTCGTCTTTGGGGCTTGCGCATCATTTTGCACCACTTTAGTTTGAATGGTCGTCGAATGGGTTGGCTTAACTCCCATCTAATTAGCTACACAAACACGCCACAAGTTGGGCCAAATCTGTTTTTGGCACAGAGATTTCATTTTTGTTGGACGCCCAACCGTCTCTCTTTGCATAAATAAATGCATTTTCAGCTATTGTTTGGCGTATTTGTGTTTGTTTTGTTTCAGAAATATGTATGTATTTTGCCAGTGCTTTTGTCATTTCGCTCGTGTTGCATAATCTAATTCAAAATACATTTCGATTGAGTTTCAGCAAGTGACATATATTTTGAAATGTGAAGTTGAGGATTTATTAATGGGACTAGTCTGTACTCCTTTCTTAATTTACTTAAACTTAAGTTTGCATATTCGGTGTGTAAAGTTCTGTAAATAAATGAAAATGTTAAATATTTTTAGTGGTCTGGGGATTTCCCCCTTTCCTGCGGTTTCCAGACATTACGTAAAGCCAGACAGAAGATATATGCAAACACACTTGTCATTGCATAAGCATAAGAAATGATGCGAGAGCCCCCATCTGCATTATTTTCTCCGCAACTTCGGACCCAGATCAAGGTCAGCCGCGATGAGTACGAAAATTTCACCAGTTGAAAGTGAAGTAAACCCGAAAGCCGGGCCCAATTCACGCATTTCAACATGATCGCCTCGATTAGGTCTCTGGCTCCTCTCCCTCCTCGTTCACAGCTCCGAGCTCCACCTCACGTGCAGCCGAGCATGTCGACCCTACGAGGCACCGAAATCATGCGGAAAAGATAAAGGTTTTACACTCGGTATACCGCACTTTATGGCGATCGGTAAAACGGCAAAAGTTACACGACGGCAGGTGCCGCTCATTACCTGACATATGTATCTCGTGGGACACTTGAGGCGGATTATGCCGAGAGCTATGTATATCCAGCCCCGCCCATGTAGATGCATGATTTTGTGAGGAATTTCAATTTATTTATTTTTTATTTTTTGTATTGTGATGTTTATTTTTTGCCACATCTTCGTAGTTATGGATTTCGCTGAAATAATGATAATCCAGTGACTGCAATGAAGGCAAATATTTAAAACTAAAATCTTTACTTGACTTGTACTTATTTAATAAATACTAAATATATGTCAAGCTGCATTTCTTCATTATGTACAGTCTGGGAAACTCCAAGGTAGCTTACTTCAGATATTCCTCATATTAAATTTTAAATTCAAATTGCTTTACGTGCAATTGTTAATAGCAAAGTTGAGGCAAACAAAAATTATAAGAAATTAGGCAATCCATTGACATTGTAAACACGTATTTATTTGAGCAAACATAATTTATTTAATCATTGTGAACTCTGTATTACATGATTTCCCGTGGGCAAACCATCAACATTTAACGATAATTTTACTTGGTTTTTTTTTGGGGTAATATTTATGTGATAAGGAACCGGGAACTGGGCCCAACTGTCAATATATCAAGAGTCGCGGAGCCTATTCAAAAATTACCGCATCGCATGCCCACATATTTACGCAATGAGTTCCCAGACGGGATCGGGGTACTGGTACTTGGGACCGAGATGAGACTGGGACTGGGACTGGGCCTGGCCAATTTGTCGATGAGTTGGGTAAATATTAACGGAGAAAGTGCGGCCGTCAGTTGGGCTAAAAGTTTTTGTGCCTGCGATGTTTTTCTTTTCGGAAATATTTTTGCACAAGTTACATATTGTTTAATTATTTGCACAAAAAGAGAGTGAGTTCAGGTGCAGTCGTTCCAATTTTCACAAGTGTCGATAATTTATGCAAATATGTAGGCATGCTCTCTAGTCGGTAGTTATGCAAACGTCCATTTATTTAGCCCTGTTTATTCATTGGGATTCCCCACCCCCCCTGAGTGGCCGCTCTCAATGTCACTTTTGGGCTGTCCAAAATTCAAATCGAAATTAACCGTCTTGGCAACAACAAATTTTCACGGCATTTAATATTTATGTGAGCTGCATATGACAATAAAAACATTTTATAATTAATGTTTGCTTTATGCTCTAACCGTGATTTGCTTTTAAATATTTGCATTACGTTCGATCAAAGTCAGCACTATTTGAAATTGGCTTCATGTTCGCTTTGACTAAAGGAAGCACCTCTCAAGATCTAGGTGAACATGTTGACCCAGAGAGCTTTTGTAAAGAATATCTAATATATTACAGGGGAGTGAACTTATATTTGGTCAATGATATTTATTTCCAAAGAATTATGTAAGCATATTTCACATTTGTGACTTTGAAGGCCAAGGCTCTTGACGTTGATTGACTCTTTTGGCAAATACTCAAGCAGCAGGCGCCACACAGTCAACTTGTCTGCTGTTTCTTGAATGCTAATGGCCAGGAGACAATATTTTAATTGCAAACCGCAAACGCGTATTTCGGCAATCCGCCAAAAAGTACTCCTCCCCGAAACTTTTGAAATACAAAAGTTTTGTAATGCCTAGTTCCAGAAGCATTTCGGAATGGGCGATTTCGTGTCTCCCTTTTGCTTTTGGTCAGCTTTTTGCAAGGTGTCCATCTTGTGGCGGACGTGGAGACGTTTAAGCAGCCCATAGGAGTACATTAATGGCATTTCAAATAGGTCTCCCATTCGGATGGCCTTGGAGACAATCGGCAATCAGGCACGTGATACCTTTTCACTCAGCAGCACATAATTATTTATGGCACGATCGCTTTGCTTGGATGCATTAATGCACAGAATACCTGCAAATAAGTTGGTAAAGAATAAAAAACATGAATTTAACTTATTTCTAAAAATAAATTTAAATTTCTTCAACTAAACATAATTTTAAAAACTTTTATCAGAATAGTCTTAAAATAAATATTATGCTCAACTTTAACTTTTTCTTAAAGTTTAGCACTATTTCTACCATAACATTGGCGACACCTGGCGACGGAATTGTCAAGCACGCTCAAATACATATTTATATATTTTACGCAGTTTTTTATTGCTTATACTTTTAAAAATTCAAATTCAGTGTCATAAACGCTTGAAGTGTGACCAGTTGCGGTAAGGAAGTAAATCCTTAAAAAAATACCTTGCTCGTATCGATAAATCTTTCCAGAAAAGCAAAGTCTGGCAGCCCTCCCATTTTAAGAATTTAACATTAAACGGTGGGGAAATGGAACATGGAAGGGATCTTTTATTTTTAAATTATTTCGTAATTAAGGTTATAATTCGAATAAAATAAAAATTGTAAATGCTAAAACAAGAATTTAGTATTGTTTTTAACTGGGTTTGAAACTATTTGACACTTGGATATATTAAAAACAGCATGTAAAAAAATCGTGTTTCCACGGATTTTTAATATCTCGGCTAATTAAACGCGTGCAGCAATACCGAATATGCCAAAACGATTGTAGTTTTACCCTACTAAGTTTCAATTTGTTCAAACCATTAGTTTTTAAGCAAATCGCATAACAGTGAACCTCGGGGTTAGCTCCATACCAAATAGGGCATCAAAATTTGTAAGGCTTATAACTTCGATTTTCGAACGCGTGCACATATGCACGGCATATTTGCTTACTAGGGGAAGAACAACGAATATTTGGTGAAAATTTCAATTGTTTTTAAAAGTTAGATTTCGAGAAAATCGAATAACAGTAGGTGGTGTATTTGGGCTGATACAAAAGGCGCGAACTATGAAAATGGAACCAGATGGGAACCTGCAGAGAACCACTCGCTGAACCAAACCATGGTACCATGTTAAGAAAAATACTAAATTAAATAACAATAGCAAATTGTTGAATAAAACATTTAGAAAAGTGACTGCCCAATAAATGGATTTTCATCTAAATCAGGGAAAATTACCTATTTGGTTCTATATTTCCATAAATGTTCCTATGAAGAATAAATATCTGGCAACACTGACTGCCTAAAATTAGGTTAATTTGATATAAATTTTATTATAAAATTTATGCAAAATAAAGATCGTACCATTAACGGGATCGCAATTCTGAACATTTTGATCCATGTTTCGTCAAAATCCGTTCAGTCGTTCATAAGAAATCCCGACTTTTGTATATATTTCCATTTATGTACCGGTTAAATATAAATATATCCGGCAGCTCTGCCTGCCTAAAAACTAGAAAACTTGATTTAAGCTTTATGGTTAAACCTATGCAAAAGGAAGATTGTTCCATAGACGGCATCGAAGTACTGAACAATTTGATATATGTTTTATTAAAATCCGTTCAGTCGTTAATGAGAAATCCCGACTTTTTCATTTATTGCCATAAATGTATGTGTGTGTATGTCCGACTAAGAATCTTAAATAAAAAATCTAATTTAAACTTAATGGTAGGACGTTTGTATGCAAATGGAATAAACGGCACTGTAGTTCAGAGCATTTTAATCCATTATATACTAGTTAAAGTGTATAGATGACTAAGTGGAAAGTTTTATTTAGATAGCTTTAAATATGAGGGTCTAGTTTCCATATAATTGGACTGACAGACAGACAGACATAGTTAGATCGACTATGCTGTTGATGCTGATCAAGAATATATATACTTTATATGGTTGAAAATAATTTATTTACTGCGTTGCAAATTTTTAACCTGAAATCATATGACAAGGCAAGGGCATTGAAGCATTAGATTTGAGAAGCAAATTTTCGAAATAACATTTTATAGTCTGCCCAATTAATGATATAATTTTTCTAAGCAATTCGGTAGGTGTTTCATCGAAATCCGTTCAGTCGTTTTGGAGAAATTAACATTTGAATTTCTAATTTATATACTAAGGAGGCATGACTATGCACCCCTGGTACCCAACTGCAATAAATGAAAAATCTGAATTTCTCATTAACGACTGAACGGATTTTGATGAAACATAGATCAAACTGTTCAGAACTGCGATGCCGTCTATGGGACAGTCTTCCTTTTGCATAGGCTTGACCATAAAGTATAAATCAAGTTTTCTTGTTTTTAAGCAGGCAGGGCTGCGGGATATATTTATTCTTCGCTGGCACATAAATGGAAATAAATGAAAAGTTGAGATATCTTATGAACGACTGAACGGATTTTGACGAAACGTGGATCAAAATGTTCAGAATTGCGATCCCGTTAATGGTACGATCTTCATTTTGCATAGGTTTTTTTTATAAAGTTTAAATCCAATTGATTTAATTTTAGGCGGACAGTGCTGCCAGATGTATTTATTCTTCGTAGGAACATTTATGGAAATAAATGAAAAAGGGATGTTTTCTCTTGAACGGCTTAACGGATTTTGATGAAACATCTACCAAAATGCTTGAAATGTCAATTCCATTCATGGGGCATGCATATTTTATACAATTGTTTAAATGGTCAATAGGAATATTTTCTGGCGGGCTATCGATTTTGCTTGTCGCGGAGGGGCATAATCATTCCACTGAAACAATCGAAAAAAAACGAAATAGATAATTTTCCCTGATTTAGATGAAAATCCCACTAAATTGTTTTGAATGGCTTTTCCATTTATAGGGCAGTCACTTTTCTTAATGTTTTATTCAACAATTTGCTAGCAATACTAAATTCATTTATTAGCATTTAAAATGTATATTTTATTTGAATTAGTGCCTGATTTACGAACTAAATTAAAAATCAAAGATCCTCTCCATGCTCCATTTTCCCACCGTTCCATTTATTTTATATTTTAGTTTGCTCGCCCAGCTATAAACGACGACCGATAGGCAGCACTGGCATGCGCCCGAGTGCAGCAACGATGAATCGATAGCAGTATCGATGATTTTGTGTGTCATCTCTATTCTAATCTGGAAAAGTTGTGCGTCTCTTTTCACAAACGTGATTTTGTTGCAGAAAAAGCCCTAAATTTAGCTGAACCAAGTGGCAAGAGCAGCACAATTATCCCAAAATGGGTCGCCGATGCTGCGTGGTCAACTGTCCGTCGACGTCGCGCCTGCTGGAGCACCACGGCGTCACCTACCACTCATTTCCCCTCGACCCAGTCATCCGGGCCATTTGGATAAAGAACTCACGGATCAGCTTGGATCGCCAGATCACCAAGAGCGTGCTTGTGTGCTCGCGCCACTTCCGCCGCCTGGATTTCAACACGATTCGCAATGGCAAGTACCTACTAAAGCCGCGCGTCTTCCCCACCGTCTTCCCCTGGGGGAAAATGGACTCCGCCGAGATTGAGGCTGACCACCGGGCACTGCAGCAGGCAAGCGTCGAGGGAACGGCGGTAGCGGGAACCGATCACTCTTCGGCCAACGAAGACGTGATCAAGGCCACTGTTGACAATATAGTGGCGCAAATTCTGGCAGAGAGTGCTGAGCGCAATTCCTCGACAGCTTCCGAAGAGCCAAAGGCTTCAAAGTCGGATAAAGAGAAGGATGCGGCAAAAACCATTGCACCCCCGGAGGCTAAGGAGGAGATTCCAAAGCCAGCACAGCATTCTGTGGCAGCATCCGCTGTTGCCCAGGCCAGCGAAGTAGCTACATCCACTGAAGCTGTCACTTCTGGCTCTAGCTCGCCTCAGCCTGGTACGCCTGTCAAGTACAGCAACCCCACTAACCTGACTATCGGTGCACGCTTGGAGGCCCTGAGCGTCGAGGGCAACTGGCTGCCCGCCCGCATCGTCGAGGTGAACGAAACCGAGCAGACGCTGCTCGTGCGCTTCGAGCGCAACCACAAGCTAAAGGTGTCCCCCTCGACGAGCGGAAGCTTCCAGGAGTGGATGGCCATTAAGTCAGAGCGGCTAAGGCAACGCCTCAGCAACCGCGTGCTTCCCATCTTCGAGCTGGAGGAGAAGTGCATGGCCCGCTGGTCGGGGCCTCGCAAGTTCCCGGGAACCATTCGCAAGCTGCTGGGCAACGACACCTACGAAGTGCTCTTCGACGATGGGTACACCAAGAACGTGCGCGCCGTGCACATGAATAAGTTGCCCAAGCAGCTTCTTCCAGTCGATGGATCGGATGGCTCGTCAGTCAAGGCTCCAGCTCCACCTGGAACTCCAACTTCAGTTGGAACTCCAGTTCCAAGAACTCCAGCCGCCACACCAGTGGCTCCAAAGAGGGCCAGTACTGGCAGTAGTGCCAGTGCTGCCTCGAGCAGCAAGAAGAGCAAGAACGCACCCCAGCGTAGGGATTGGCCATTGCTAGACATGGCCAGCCTGGATATAGGTAATATTTTCGTCGTGCTGCGATTTCAGAACATTAAATAACTTGTTTTCCCCTCATAACAGCTGCTCTGGGCTTGCCAGAAATACCTCATGATGGGGAGTGGACTTGCCATTGGGTAAACGATCAGCCGATCGGAGCCGAGGGCTTCCTGATTGTTGGCGAGCACCAGAAACCCACAGTGATCGTTCAGGACTGGCGTCTGCCGCCCGGTTGGATCAAGCACATGTACCAGCGTTCTAATGTGCTCGGCAAGTGGGACGTCATCCTGGTATCGCCCAGCGGCAAGCGGTTCCGCTCCAAATCAGACCTGAAAGTGTTTCTCGAATCGCAAGGCCTGGTGTACAACCCGGACGTATATGACTTTAGCATCCACAGGCGTCGGGCCAAAGACATAAATGCCTATGTATACACACATGACTACAATCCGCAGACTCCGGCCAAACCCAAGCCCATGGATGTGTCGCTAGACTCCACGTTGGAGCGGAGCAACACAACTCTACCGTCTTTGCCATCGACTCCAATGCCTGTCAAGGAGAGCCAGTACATGGAGGCGCCGGTGGCCTCTTTGATGCCGCCAGCAGAGCTCATGTCGCCACAGGCCCTGCTTACTGATGAAGGCAAGCCAAAGACGACCCCAGAACAGCTTGAAGCCATTGAGGGTGATTCCACCCTGCCTGTGGAAGGCGCTCCTCCAGTGGAGAACGGCTTTGGTATGCATAACAAAACAAATTGATATATTTGACATTTTAGCTAATTGCTTTTTATTTCATTTGTCTTTCGTAGCTTATATTGGCGGACTGAAAGTTCAGCTCCAAGAGAATCTGTATGTTTGCCCGCGCGAGGGTTGCGGCAAGACCTATCGCAAGGAGGATTTCCTGCTGATTCATATTCGCCACTACCACAAGGAGTTCGCAGAGTAAGTTTTTGTTTATTTACGTAAAATAGCACATTTGTTAATGAACTTGAATTTCTCAGGTACGTAAGCAACTGTCCGAAGATGCAGGAGCTGGCGGTCAAGCGCACACACGCCTCCTCTATCGAGCAAGGCGATGCAGCTCCCAAGAACCAAATACCAAACCAGCAATTCTTTGCCAAGCTGCACCAACAGGACATGCAGCAGTCACGGGCTTTCAAGCGTCAGTCAGTTCCCCCAACTGTTACGTCGCCCAAAGCGGCTGGTACTGTGCCAGGGGCTTCTCCAACCAAGACGCTTGCATCGCCCAAAACAGAGCCAACGGACACGGCACCGTTCGGTGAAAGTGGCACCAATCCAGAGGAAGTTACGTTGGAGGCTGGAGCTACCCCCTCGCTTAATCCCGGGTTCAGCCGCTCTAGCAAGCGGGCTCGTTTCTCTCCCACAAAGCGTTCATCCGGATCTAGAAAGAGCAACCGCCAGCGGTCACAGCGTCGCAGCAATGCGACTGACACTCCAACCGGGCACAACTTGAGCGAACACGATGCCGACGAGACGAGGCAGTCCTTCACCACTCCCACACCGGATGCACGCATAGATTCGAAGAAACGCCGCTCTGCTCCGGCAGCTACAGCCATCAGCTCCATTGACTCCCCGGTAATGGCAGATTCGGTATCAACACCGTCTTCCAACGACCAGGCTGACATTAATGCCGCGCTGCCACCGCCAACAGACACAATTGGAAAGACGCCGCAGTACATTAAGGAGAACGGCGAACTGATACGTATCGTGCGCATGCGGCAGGAGGAAATCATTAATTGTATCTGCGAGTACGGCGAGGAAGATGGCCTAATGATCCAGTGCGAACTGTGCCTGTGCTGGCAGCATGGCGCATGCAATGGCATATTAAAAGAGTCAGACGTACCGGACAAGTACGTCTGCTATATCTGCCGTAATCCACAGAGGGGACGGGACTCAATGAGGTTTAAGCATGACCAGGACTGGCTATTCGAGGGCAAGTTGCCGGTGGCCGCGTACCACACTTCAAATACCCAGGCTACCAAACAGTCAGACCTACTGAAGCGCTCGCACACACTCACAGGCAACCTGCTGGACGCCAAGCGTTCGATGCACTCTCTGATGGTGAAAATCAACATCGCTAGAAACCGTTCCCACCCAAAGTTGTATCTGTGGGCCAAGAAGTGGGATGAGGACCAGGCAGATGCCGCTGCATTGACTCCTGTGAAGCGACCGAAGTCAGAAATCCCTGATCTACCGCACGTTCCGCAGCCAGAGGCAGCCATCGATCCGGAGGAGTGCCAGTATCGCCTGATTGAGCACGTAAAAGTGCAGCAGTCGCTGATCATGAATCGACTGAACGACATTGAGGCCGAGATTGACGGTGAGTACACTTAACAAATTCTTACTTTTGAACAAAGAACACAGTTACATATTTATTTTTCCCAGAGCTTGAAAAGGAGGACAGCCTGGAGGACCTGAAGGATAGCGATATCTCCACTACCAAAGAGGCCATGGCCGCATTCATCAAGGAGTTGGAGACTATGAAGCGCCTTGCCCGGCTCAATCAGGTGGCTAATATTAAGCAGAGCTTAAAAGATACCCCAAATTAATAGGTCCTTAAAACAAAAAAAAAAATCTTTGAATAATAGATTTGGTATATTATTTTGAATCAATCGTAGAACTTAAAGGGTTAATATAAAGTTAAGAAGTAGCTTTTTGTTTTTGATACCGTCTCCATTTGTTACAAAGATTATCTTTAAAAAAGAAAGAATTTTTTGGTAAAAATTATATGAAGCTAAAGGGAGAAGGTTTTATTCACACTTTCGTTCAAATTATTATCAAGAGAAATATAAACATTATATACTAAGTTCTTTAAAATTCTATTAGCTCGTAAAATATTGTTACTAATAAAGCTAAAGTTTAATTAATAGCCATATTCTCGACACCGATGTGGTATCTTTTACACACGCCGAAATTAGAATTTCATGGCTTATTACTTAAGATTGAGAAACAAGATTCCGATATGGACCTCTATCGATCTAAGCCAGCTCTACTGAAAGCATGTGGCTCTCTTTTCTTTGGCTAGCTACATTGTATGTGATGGCAATGGCCAATACCACGGATTCTGGATCTTCCACTACGAGGATCCCGATCGAGGATAATATCATACTCCCAACACAGCAATTCACATCGGATATAACTACACTAAACAGCACAACTGCAAAGCCTGCCATAGGTTACAACTCATTTCCCTACGTCGTCTCTATCGGGGCAATGGTCAATGGTTACTACAAGCACCTCTGCGTGGGTGTGATCATTTCAAATAAGAACCTTCTGAGCGTGTCTCACTGCATCAAGCCCCCTAAGCCAGTTCACCAAGGGAAACTGCATGTAATTGGTGGCTCTGACAGGCTCAATGGGAAGATCGAACCCCGGTTTGTTGTCAAAATTAAAACTCATCCTAGTTTCAAAGTGCTTAAAGGGTACGACATTGCGGTAGTGGAGGTGTCCCCAGAGTTTCCGCTAAATGATGGCCGATTTAAAAGCTTAAGCTTCAATCTTAACCCACCTTCCGACGGATTTGAGGCATCGATGGTCGGATGGGGCCGTGTCAAAATCGGAGAGATGAAGGTTTTAAAGCAGACACCCTTTCGCATCATTGGAAATCAGAAATGCATACACAGTCATAGATTCGTTTACCTCCGTAATACTGATTTCTGTGCCGTGCACTTGAAAGGATCCCAAGGAGCCTGTGATGTAAGTGAAAGATATCAGCCAGAATAAGATTCTCAAGACTATATATGCCTTATAAGATCGGAAATGAGTCCTTAAATGCTCAACTTCATATATATATATCAAAATCGAGAAGTATTCTCTCCATTTTAGGGCGACTCAGGAGCCCCTTTAATGGATGTGGAAAAGGAGCAGCTTTTTGGCTTACTATCCTATGGCAGAAATGCGTGTCAGCCACTGATGCCCTATGCCTTCACCCGCGTGGGTATTTTTTCGGATTGGATAGAGGAGAATATGAGCAGCGAGGGATATATGAAAATCGGGAAAACGAAGTAAAAAGATTTTAAGCTTTTAAGCTGAGTTAAAATAAAAAAGTGAATTGTTTTTAGATATATATATTTATTTTCTATTTTCAAATAACTCTAAATATAAGTTGAAATGAATAGTATTTTGATTACGTAGTTTCAGAATTGTCATTCATACGCAGTGTGGACCCGCCATTATTACCATCGATATTACCATCGATATGAGCTTTTTGGCCTATCGAAAGCACATTGTTGCCGCCATTGGTTCATCCCTGGCCGCCGACTTTTATCACCAGGAAAAATCAAAACAAACGAAGTCGTGAGCAACAATTGCTTATAAATTAATCCCTACTGCACACTTATTGCTAGTCCGTAAGTGACCGTTCTCGTGAAACGAACCCGAACCAAATGTGGTCAAAGATATACAAACTGATTCGTCCTCACAGGTACTGCGACATGGCAGACGCACCTTCCCAGGCCACCAATTGTGAGTCGGCTCTGGCTCAGCTAAAGAACTTTGGCTACGCCTTTGACAAAGGTGAGTAGGTGAATAACGATGGTCTTGCCGTTGATCCCTACCATACTGATATTCTCCTACAGCCGGTGTCCTGCGAAAAATTGATCCTGCAACAGGCGAGCCAGGAACGGAGCTCTTCTCCTACAACATCAGCAGCGATGCCAATGAGAACGAGAAGCACTACCAGAAGCTGGCTGATGTAAGTGCGGGGTCTTAGAGAATAATGTAAAAGTGAAGAATATAAAGTCTCGCATTTTATCTTTAGCAAATCCCTGAAATCGTCTACGCTTTGCTGGAGAAGAACGGTCTCAGTCGTACCTACATTCCCTTTGGTAAGCCGCCAGAGCAGTCCTCCTTCGTCTACTCACAGCCGGCAAAGCTCTCACAGTCCAAGAAGCTCTTAATCCTGATCCATGGCAGTGGGCAAGTCAAGGCCGGACAGTGGGCCAGAAGGTATGTATTTAGCTGTAGCTTCAAACAATTGAAAGATATACAAATATATAAAATTACTAAATGTTACCTAAAAAAATTTATTCGAATGCCCCTATGGACTTAGTTAAATATAACCATACCTTTAGGGAAAACAAACTATGATTAGAAATCTTTATATACATACATATACACTCGAAATTTTGAAAGTAATTATGTGTATAATAACTTTAATGAAACTTGCTTAGCTTAATCATTAACAACTCGTTGGATCACGGCTCCCAGCTGCCTTATGTGCGACAGGCCCAGAAGCTCGGCTATGATCTGCTTATCACCAATGCCAACGATAGCAAGCGATTCTACAATGGCAAGGATAACATTATCAAGGGCGTAGAAGAGCCTGTGAAACACACCAAATATGTGTGGAAGAACATAGTTTTGCCATCCAAGCCGGAGAGTGTGGCCATTGTGGCCCACAGCTATGGAGGTTTTCTCACTCTTGATCTGGTAAGTTGTTCTGTTTCAAATACGTTTTTAAATCATCTTAATTCGAGGTTCTTCCCATCCATTAGGTTGATGAATTTTTGGACTTCTTTAAGGAAAAGGTATTTGCTATTGCCTTTACCGATGCGGTAATGTCAGGTCCACAGGCCAGTAACAAGGATTACTTGCAATCCGTGGCCTGTGATTGGGTGACCAGCAAGGCACCATTGGACACACCGGTTTCAGCTTCGAAAGATGGCATCCGGAAGGTTTCCGCTGGACACACTAAGCACGAGTGGACCTCGTACTCGGCCATCGATTCCATATTCAAGTTCATGGAAGAAAAGTACGAGCAGAGGACGAACAAGAAGTGACAACTTGTCAACCAACTTAAGAATTTGTGTACTTTCCATATATGTATGTATATATATTTTGGAGATGTGAATATAAATTGCGTTTTTACCGCCTGCGCACTTCTGACACTGATCCCTTTTCCCTAGGGCCAAACGCAAACTATCGATTTGCAATGCATAAATCAAGCGAGTGGACACTGTCCGGATGTGTCACAAACACTTACATCAGGCCAATTTAATTTGATTTTCGCCACTTTGGCACATTCCCCGAGAGTTAATCATATTGATGGCTGATGTATTGCCCTCGATAAAACAAAAGTCTCCCACATGGCCCATCAGCGCGGTAAAAAAAACCCACAACCGAGACCAAAAACAAATTCCCCCAACGACGGGCGGATAAGGAAGGGCTGTCATTTTGGCAGCTGCATCAAATTCCTTGGGGTTGACCAAGGAGACCACTTTTCTTGGCTAGGGTTGCTTACCCCTGTCTGTCACTGGACTCTGGTCCATATCGTTTAACTAAGTGTGCCATAAAAAGTATGATGCCAGCTTTTAGCCGCTTTAAGATGGATAAACCATGTGAAATTCAGGGGAATTGGTTTGTTATGGTTATATGGTTTGTTTTTTACGGAAAAAAAAGTAACTTCTATACTCTAAAGGCGTTAGTTTAAAACAGCAAATATTGCAATTGGACATAAAATATTATAATAACTATCTTCAAAGTGAAATTATATTTTAAATACAATCCCTGGTATTGAAATATAACTATATAGAAACCCTTTTTTCAGCTGCAAGAAATAATATGCAAAGAGCAGCATTAAAACAGTATGACTTTTACCTCTAATTTTTATATCCTTCCAGAGTATTATAATTATATTCATATGATTGCAACACAGTGAAGGAGTCATTTCCGACCCTATAAACCATATATATTCTTGATCAGCATAAAGAGCTGAATCGATCTAGCAATGTCCGGTGGAAAAATAATTTTTTGAAATTTTTTTCGAAATTCTTAAATTTTATAAGGGGTTACATCTTTAAAATTGTCAAAAATTCGGTTTTTCTTAAATATCAAGCGAAGGAATCATTTCCGACCCTATAAATCATATATATTCTTGATCAGCATCAAAAGTTAAATCGATCTAGTCATGTCCGGTCAAAAAATACAATTTTGGAAACTTTTTCGGAAATTTGAAATTTTTATAAGGGGTTACATCATTAAAATTGTCAAATTTTGACTAAAAATCAAATTTTCAGAAATCCTAAATTGCATATTTATTAGCCTAGTGAAAAGTAGCATAGGAGAGCTTTCCGAAATAAAATGAATGCTTGTTTGTCTTAGTTATGATGCTTTAAAACATTTGTTTTACCCAAAAATGACCATAATAAAAATATATTTAAAGGCCATATAATGCACATACTTTAGGTTTTACTAATATATATATTTAAAAAATATTTTAAAATGAGCATTTAATTTTAGCAAATAATTTGTGAACTCATATAAAAGGTAGTAAAGTCATTGGCAGACTGCCAACTGATTAATTATGTGCGAACAGTCGTAATCCCCTTTGTGAAACTTTAAAGACTTTCCCTCACCTTTGCCGGAGCAGATTTCTTTTGGCAGGCGCACAAAAAGTGCAACCTGGCTATAAGTAAGTGGAAGAGACGGAGACGTTTGTCTTTGGCCTTAAAACGAACTTAATACCCACAAAGTGAGCTGGGGACCCAAACTCAAATATCGAGAAGGCCCAGGAGCATGGGGAGTGCGAGGAATGGGACTCGTCCTGGCAACCCTACAACTTCCCCAGGACCCGCCAAGCGCCACTCCACTCCGAATCTGGATCAGAGTCCCTCCCCACGCCCACATATACATTATCGCTGTCATGGCCGCAGTCATGGCTTCTGCTCCACCTTAGACATTTTTATATGTATTCAACGTCGTTGTCGGCGTCGTCCTATGGCAGCTTGCTATCTACACTTTGACTCCACTGCACCCTACACACAGCCACAGTCGCACACACACCGCCGACAAGGATGGCATCATCGTGGCTCAGTGCAGAGCGAGAAGGCTGGAGCTCGTGTCGCCGTCGCCAGCAAAAAGCTTTGCACGAGTTCAGGAATGGGTCATGCGCCTGGAGCCCGCCTCTAATATATGTATATATATCTCGGATATGTACACTCGGATAATACATACTGGGCTAGGGCAGTAAATAAGCCGAAGATGCCTATGTAATCGTTTCGGTTAAGTAAATAAAAACAAATGCGACGGCTTTAAAGTCAAACCCAATTTACACAGCCCCATGCCACAATGGGTTCTTGTGTCGTTCTTAACATCCCAATAAACAATGTCTAGCAATTACTTAAAATAATCCTTTCCTTGTGGTTATTTGATCAAATCTTAAACGCAACGCATCCCTCACATGCGACAGCCGATGGCCAAGGACTTGCACTCCTTAATCCCGAACCCTTTAACTCTTCCTTTGGCTATCCTGTCTTGATTGCTTGGGATAATGTTGCTTAAGATTTTCATTTTAGATTGCAAAGAAATTTATTTTCTTTTGGTTTTAAGACTTAGAGATATGATACTTTTCCGAACTTTATGGGAACAGTTTGATTTACAATTTTAACAAAGCCATTAAAAGTATGGGTTTCCTCAATCTCTGCTCAGCCTTTAAACTAATTTTAAACTTTCAGAATTCTAAAAATACAAAATACATATTTTAAAAATATTTCTTATACAGGTTTTACCTTCCTTTAAATGTGAGATTCCGTCCCTAGGAATACTTTGCTCCCACTCATTCGCTGCAATATAATTCTCCTTGTTATAAATCAAGTTAAATATTTTACTCAACTTCGATCAAGCGAACTAATGAATATCTTCATAAATCAAAACTCAAAATGTTCTTTTTTTTGCGATTTTTTAGAAAAAAATTTGTACGCTTGCAATTTCCTGTAGGAGGAAATATTATTGTGCGTTACTTTATTGCTTGAAAAGTTCAAGCGATGTCATTCAAAAGTCATAAATAATAATGTTTTCCAATAAATGTTCACATGTGAGTGGGCACACCGGGGAAGTGAGTGGCCTGTGGGAGGGCAGAAGGATTCAGGACGAGGCCACGCATGGCAGGACCGTGCTACGTAACAATCCCATTCGATGGCTCCCCGAAATGACCGCTTGTCGTTGAACCTTGCCTGGCGGCCTGACTTCTCTCCCAGGACTTATTTCCAGCGGCTAAAGGGCGCCCAACTGTTGGGTCCGGATCCCCGTAGGTCTC